TCAAATCGAGAAGACCATGGAGCTGCATAGAAATGGATTTGTGGAACCTCCACAGTAGCATGGATGACATACAACGAAACTGCCCGCATGGATATCTCGAAAAGCAGCAACCAGGAAAAAGGTGGCTGGAAGTGGTATGATAGTGTACATGACAGTGTGAAGTTGACAGGTGGATGACTGACTTGAGGTCGTTAGTGTTTACCGAGGATGGCACATAACATAACATGCTCCCGCTACACCGGTATGCATTACAGCCACACCCTCGTCTGCCGGTACCCGAAAACTATTTGTGTTGCGAACTCCACTATACCGTCTTTTCCTCGCTATCCACATCCCACACCCGAAACATTGTCCCAGGCTCAACGAACAACATACGTCAGTGGTCGCGGTTGCAGCAGATTTTCCGCTACGTTGACCTGTAATCCAGTAAACTGCCGAAGTTGAGGGATAATGCCATACTTCGTGCGCGTGATTGAAGTCAGCAAGTCCCGTAAGTAACATGATTGAATCCGGCCTGCGTGGAACCCTATTACTTGCTGGAACAGGCTATTAACGAAAAAGCCAGATAACCCCATCAAATTAACGTTAGAAAAACGGGCGACAGTAAAAAGACAATGTTTACAGTAGGTGACGTAACGTATGCAAAAGCAACAGAATGGTAGACGAGAAACAGGATTTGAGCGGAAACGGGGGAAGTTGTGTATACCTCCAGTCGAGATGAAGACAAGACGTCGAAACCCAGTAGCTTCACAGAATTGAGCAGGGTGCTGGAATGATGTTGCAAAATCTTACCACCAAATGCCAACGCCTCACCAATCTGAAGCACGATACGACTATGATCAGTCAGTCACCTGTCACTTCAAGCAGCTGTGTACACGCAATAAACTCCAGTGTGTCAAAGAAATCCGATAAAAAGCGCGATCGAAAACAGAGCAAGCCTATCACAAGCGGCTGGCATTGCAGTGAATGGCGTTTTGCTCGTTATTGCTGTTTTAAGCGTCATAAATGTTCCAGATGCGACCGTCGTGGCCACAAAGAACATTTATTTCGATCTCAAGGGCTACAATCACCCGCACACCACCGTGCAGCTCACAAATCGCAGTCAAACTCTGAGATGCCGATCGTCAGATTTGATCTTGCTTGCCGAAGTAAGGTCGTTAGGCTGCGTATCAACAACATTCTAGTTCGTTTGCAGCTTGATACGGGCAGCGACATCACGCTGCTCAATGAACGAACGCGAAAACGAACTGGTAGGCCGCACGTGAAACTATCCGAACATCAAGCCCGTAATCCCTCTGGTGGTAAACTGAAATTCACCGACGAAGTTGACTGCTCAACAAGCTTCAACGGCTCGACGGCATAGGTGACTTGCTACCTGACGTCATGACCCAAACTTGGTCTCATTCGCCGAAAATTTTTCCAGTGAACAGTCCTACAACCGCCACTACAAACCTACAACACCGACGATTGTTCAATCGTTTTGAAACACCAGAGTCTATTGTATCCGACGAAGGTAGTCAGTTCACATCGTCAGGGTTTGCAGAGTTTTGTGTAGCATAGCTCATGTCCGCTCACCGCCGTTTCTTCCACGGTCGAAGGGCGAAACACTTCAACGATACTCTGAAGCGTGCACTTCAGAAGTCAAAAGAGGAGGAACCAACGGAAAAGGTTTTACAAAGATTCCTGATGGTATATCGAGCGACGCCAAGCCCCAACTGGCCTGATGGGGTTTCATCAGCAAAGGCACTGGTCCGAAGGAAGCTTGGAACACTGCATGACACAATCGGCCACAGAAAGGCAGGTTACTCACTACAACACCAAAAGGGAGGAACGGATATCGGGCATTATGAACAAAAGATGAACTCATTCAGCGAAGGCCAGAGAGTGTTGGTTCACGACTACAGAGGAAGACACTTTACGTAGACCCCAGGACACACCCTTCGCCGGTGCGGCAGTGCTCTACGAGATTCAGGTTGGCCCAGCCAGGTAGATACGGCACACAAACGAAATCCTGCCGACAGATGAACAGATTATGTAAACAGGACCGAGTGAGTTGGCTACAGGGATACTTCTGGACACTTCTGATCTTAGCACAATGATAGAAAATCAATCAACTGCTCCGTCGGGGGCTCAGTCAGAGTACACATTAAGACCGCGAAACTAGACAGGCAGGATCTGCAAGCTAGTGAGGTCACTGCGAGTAAACCCTCGGCTTCGAAGTTAAGTCAACAAACTTCAACTGGGAGGCGTTGGGCAGGATTTCATACAGATGCCGCTGCACCACACGCAGTTCAGCGCTGCTACGGCCGCACAAGACTGGCCAAAAGTTCGGGCCGCTTGCCGGTCCGGTATCAAGGCGGGCCCAACAGCCAATCATGATCCAGTGTTGGCCGAATGCTGGCTGCTAATGACGCACCCAGAGGGTGTCAGAATTTCCAGAATGCTTTCGCAGCTTAGGACGCGCTGTGTAAGTGTTCGTGACCTGGTTTCGGGCCTTAATATACGTTATGCACCTTTCGTAGTTGTTTTTGGCGGGAGCGCTAGCTTGGAAGGTTCGGATCGAGAACTAAGTTGGGGAAAATAGAGTAATTACACTATGGTATGCACAACGACAGGATGTTAACGTCACAAGTTTGCCTTCATTTTTCTCATCTGCTACGAATCAAGAATCGATTTTTCAAAAAACAAGTTTGATGTGACGGTTACAGTTAACCAACCTGAAATCGATGAAACAAATGATCCAACTGCTCTGGAGTGAATTCCAATGCCAAACGAGCCAACATATCGAACACATTTTTAGCTATTGTCTGGTGTTTCCCGTCTTGGGCTTCCCATATTTGATCAAGATCCGCTGTGGTCAAATACGCGTGTTTCACCATAAACCGAATAATTCGTTCTGCCTTCTCGACATATTGCAGTTGATGCAAATTCTCGCGAAGCATCAGTCCTAAGACCTAAGGCAAATGGAGGAAAATGTAGAGCATAAATGCATGAAGAGGTTACCAGGTGCAAAACGGAAGGCGAATAAAAACGCACATGGAGAAAACTAGCCATCAGACCAAGGTGGTCCCAATATTGGGAACAGGAACTTTGTACTGGACTCAACAGAGATTCCTACTGAATTGACACAGAAATCATGAAAACACAGAAGTGACGCTTCTTTTTAACGGCAAACACAGAGAGAGTCAGGCACCGAGACAGAGCACTGTGGTTAAGACGCGAAGCTACTGACCAGAAGCCCCGTGGCTCGAATCTACTCACAGCATCGCAACTGCTCCTGTCAAGGCTTATGAAACATGCCAGTATTTCCGTTCTCGTGGGTCCTTGAACCGAAAGGGTATTGCGGCTGAAGGATTATTTTTTTCACCGAAGACGATAGTGTACCATATCAAGACTCAACTTGTTGCATACTTCAGTCAAAAACTAATGCACCCCTACACCGCTATTGTTATGTATAACTGCTGTCGCCGCTGTAGAGCATTATTGTCGGAAAAAGACTCGCCAGTAAGCAACACAACAGCTTTATTGCGAACAAGCGAGTGGAAAAGTTACAAGTGGCTTCGCACATTTGACATTAATCTAAGCTGCCTGATCGGTGTTTGATGAACACCCATCATCATTAACCGCGCTTCTGTTAAATGCCTGAACACTTGACTTCGTTGGTCATCCTTCCGTGGCGTGTCTGAACACTCGCCGGTCGTCGCTAAATTGACTGACTATTTAAATGCTCGACTGAAAGCCGGCTTTTCTGGCCTGGATGCTTGAGCGCTTCCCTACTGCCATTTTGGAGGGGTTTACGTGTGTCAGTAGGTTTCAAGGGCATTCTGGGACTATTTTCAAAAGCCTGACCTTCTTGAGAGATATCTTTTTTACACGCCTTTTCCAAAAGAATTTCCAGCTTTTAGCTTGAAGATTTCGGTGACAACGCCACCAAAATTACTCGTATTCAATGCAGACCACATTGAAAAAAAGATTATTTATAGTACGGAAGGATGTTAAAAAATGTGACGATTGATGCCCAATATTCCACTCAGATAAGCCATCGGCAAGCTTATTTTAGATCAGTTAATATGTCGCGGAAATGCAACCCAATCACTTGCAGCACTAACCACGGCTGCTACTATGTGGATAAAGTTCTCCACTCTCACTCCAGAAAATCGATCTACGACTATCGTGGAACACGTGATAAGACTGTGGCGTTACAATGACGTCGTAGTATCGGCCACACATGTAAAACTACGCCATATCTCGATTGGTTTGTCGTGGGTGAGTCAGTGAAAATTGACGAGCACCCAGGTATATACCCCCTAATAAGGGTCGACAGAAACACCCGAAATCGGGACATACATACCATCAACATATAGAACTACCATACCAAACAGCACAAGGTGAACTACGTGGTACAATAAAGTAAAGACAGTAGAGTTGAACAATACAAACGGCATTATCTTCATTACCGCATTTGCCAGTGCTTAAAGACTGGCGGTCCCTGATCAAACGGTTAGCTCGGGAACCAATACTCTTTGACGTTCAATAAAGGAGCGCGAAGTCGCGCGTGAGGCCGATGGAAGTGCTTTTTCGTCCGCCTGTTCAGATGTCCTAGATGATGCTAGTGGTGATACCACCTAGCGAGTTTTCGTAGGGAGTTACTCGAAAAATCAGCAGAAAACTCAGTAATGGCCTCTGGTCACAATTTTGAAAGACGAAAGACTTCTCCTTTCCCTTGGTTTTCAGTATTCAATAAAGTATCGATATGGTCGAACTGTCTATCATCCGGTTTGGCATACAAAGGAGATAGTGCAAATGACGCGCCTTGTGTCTGGGACTAAAAGCAAAAGCGCAACGTCCTATTGTTCCAATGATACAGTGGAATGCCGGCGAGTGCCGTCCAAATACTGCCAGAAAAGTGAATACGTTGGGGAGAACATTCGACAGACTGGCTGTTTCATGACACCAGTGAAAAGCTGCTTCCTTGAGAACCAACAGTCACACCCGTATAATACGATGATGCGCTACGGGGTTACAGATGCCAGATAAGTGGACCATAAAAAACCGAAACTATCGAAAGGTTTGCAAAAACGATTGTTGGTGTCCCCAATCCAAATACCTAGTTCTGACACATCAGCATAACAGACGCTGTTTATGAGGGTTCTAATGCATGGTAGAATATAACTGTGAGAATGCTCGAACGCTGGAAGATGATAGATATATTCTCACCGAAACGAAGGGGGAGTGTTATGGGAAGGAGGGCTGTAGCAATCTGGTTGTTCCACTTTGGCGGCAAATATTTGAGTAACGAGGTTCCGTGGACATGAATTTACTAGTCGATCAAGAACTAACAAAAACAAAATCATCAAGAACTCTCCAGGGAACGTGACGATTGACAGGAAAGCTCCAGAAACCGGACTCACTGCTTCACACCATCGACATTGACTACAACATCACTTTGGATGTTTGTATCATCTTAATTTGCAAATGTCCATTTCGAAGTCTAGATGGATATTCTCAAACTTGGCTTAGCTGGGGAGCTCCGAAAAAGAGTTTGTCTGTCTGATCAAGTTCAGCAGCCTAATAAGTGGTGTCATTTCAGATAAAATATTTCCATATCTCAAATACTGTCCAAAATGCAACGGCTTTTATGAAGCAATTCCATTTGGAAACTATTCCAAACGAGCGTTCAGAATGAGATTTAGTTTCGTCTCTCGTCAACATCACTTTAAAGCATACGAGGAGCATACATCTCTTGTTGTACTTGAATTGCTTCTCGTTCACTAAAAGCACCCATTTTGGGGACACTCTAGTGTTCTAGCTACCCGGAATCCTACTCAGTCTGGGCCGCAAAAGTTACAGATCAGGGAAATGTTTATCGAATTCGGATTTACTCGATAGGATGAGTCTAGAGATCCTTCCTTCATGAACAAAACAGGACAGTCTGTTTGCTCTCCACTGGTCACTCGCCAATGATCAAGGTACGAGAATCACTGTCCTGCTGAGAATATCTCGGTCAGTAGCTAAAACTTTTCAGGCGACCTCCGAGAACAATAGCATATAGCTCAAATGAATCGAAATACTCACCTGTTTGTCGTGCATCCAAGTGGCAATTCGGTCTATGGTTAGCGTGTCTGAACTTGGAGAGTAGGAAGACTGAGATGGGATGCCGCTCGGACTGAGACGTGAAAACAAGCTGTTCAAGTCGTTCAAAGCCATCATCCGTTTATTGAAAGAGGGGAACTGTAAAATGCGGGGAATGATTAAAAATATCAGAGCATATGCGTGCAATCGGAAGATGCCCTGACGTCAGCTGGGGACATGGTCACTGTTGTACGGTATGGTAAACCTGTGTGGAAACTCTCCTTAGTGAGAAAATAAGCAAAAATTGAGTTTGATACAACGCGTGCACCTGCTGTATTGTTGTACCCGGTTAGAAGACCAATAAAACAGCCCGGTACACCGCATGAGGCCTATACAGATTGGAAAGCAAAGCCTTCCTAAACGGTAACGTAACCTACAAATCATGTGCAACGGAGAGGGTGTCAGGTGGTGGCGGAGGAGCTGTCACATGAATTCATGACACGCGGTGAAACAACCTTTAGGAAACACCGCATACACCATTGAAAATAGACTGATTCTAAAACAAAAAATATAAAAATGACCGCTAAGCTCAACACACCGACTCAGATCCACAGCTGAATACATTGTCACACCTCATCGGTTGTCGTGTGGTGCGTTCAAACGCACTTCGTTGTGCGATGCCAGTGATGCACAGGCCATTACTGCTGTATAAACCTGGATCTGTACTATGTCAAGTCATCGAGCACCTCCACCTAATTGGATACCTCTCCACGCAGTTCGTTCGGCACAATCTGTGAATGAATTCCCAAAACACAAGGCACACAGACCCATGTTTGTTCTGCCCACACACGCGAAGAAGCTATTACTAACAGGTCTTTATTGGGCTCTGTGTTCATTTACAAGGGCTAAAGGCTCAGCTCCGTTGTGGTCGTCATTGACGTAAGAGTGCAAACAGATACGGTTGGAGTTGTCGAGGCAAAATCAGGTGGTCTGCAAATTGGAGGTCGAAACTGGATGCGAAACTCACACTGTCTACTTCCGTGGATCCAGAGATACCAGAGTGCCATCAATTATCGATGGCAAGAATTAAAAACTGTACGTCGCACCTTCTGAAACACACCAGTCACGCACGTGTCCGCTGCGGAATTCCATTGGGTTTTTCAGGTCTAAGAAGAATGCGCACACCTCAATCGCTCGACGGTCCATGAAGCCATGGACCTCATAATCAGAGCCAACTTCTTCAACATCCACCAGCTGAACGAATTTCGGGTGTTCAATAACCTTTATACGAGATCCCAAGAGCCGCATGGGATGTCAGAACTTCTGTCTGCGGTACAACTCGGGCAGCTCTGATGAAAAACGCTGGCTCGAACTAGACGGATATATAGACCAGGAAGCCTAAACTGGGAAGACCGGCTGCACAAAAAAATGGAGGAAACAAAAGTGCGGGAAACGTCCGCAGTGACTTCTAAGCAACGGGTCCTCATCAATGAAATCAAGGACTAAATTGACCCGATATCCAGCAAACAAGAACATATGGATCGTTTGGCGGAATACTTTAACCAATGGTTCAATTGGCTATCCGCCGGTCGGATTGTCGGTACACAGTCGTTTTCAGTATAACTTATATGTGCCCATCTATGGGAACGAGTTCGCCCAAGAAAACTGCAGTCCTATCCTCAAAAAAGGTAGCCACATTCGGTGTGACAACAGGAGTTGTAACACGGCTGCTGGTCTTGACCAGCGAACAAACAACGAGATTTTCACCAGGTCAGTGCTGCACCGATAAGAAATTGACAGTCTATCAGGTTCTGAGGCAGTGCAAAATGTACAGTTTCGGGGCGCTTTGACTGCAAGGACGCATCTGCTACTGTAGATAGGTCACCAGTTTGGAACACATTAACTCAACAAAGGGTGTCTTAGAAGCTCCTTTCTACATTTACACACTTTTCGATGCGTGTGCGGAGTGAACCTACTTAGAAGAAATCGTTCCCGAGAAGGATATCCACCAGCTCCACTTTCATTCAACTTCACCACCCAAAAACTAACGAGGCGAATACTGGGGTATCTACGAACGCCGACATCCAAATCACTGCAGGTAAGGACCATGTCATTCTGGAGTACGTAGATATCGTTCTACCCTTTGAGGACGAGCATAAGATATAAACGCCATGCGACAAACTGGTCATTATCCTACCATCTTTTCGCATGCATTCCGCACATACAAGGATAGCGTCATGTCTCAAAATATGCAGTTCATCAATAAGACCCTCGAACTTTGAGGAGGAGCACTGAAGTTTGTGGGAATTTCTACGTGCGTCAGCAGTGTCAGGTCTGACAGGAGTGTGTCTGGTGATGTCGGTAAACGAATCTCAAAGGTTCGATAGAAGACCGGGATTTGGGCAACTTTTACCGTATCAGTATCAGTAAACCTATGTATCTGTTTGTCTTGGTAAAACAACTGCACAGGAAGGAAATTTGAGGTAGCTAACACATCACTGCTGTACCTAAACTGCCAGTAAGGAGTAGTACCTTCTTCTTCAATTGGACTGTATTACCACACCTTGGGCAGATGCCCAGTGGGCCAGTCATTCTCGACAGGCAATCAAATTGCCCAGCTCAGCGAACAAGCTAACGACCAATACCGTTACATAAGTTTGATCTTCAAGAGATGAAATTACGCCAAAGATTCAATCAAACAATAAGCCCGAGCTCTATGCCTTTCAACGAGTCACTGAACGACAAGGCTGGTGAGTGTCCAAGCCTGGCAAACAATACGTCAAAAGTACTCGCAACAAACAAGGAGATGGTACAGTCTAAAACCCGATATTAACTCGTGACACTAAAAGTGGGGGAAATAGATCGCAAACTCGAGGCACCAATCTATCACGGATGCTTTATCAACGGAAAACTATTTCCCAATATTGAAGTCAGTGTGTTATGTTACCTATGTGTAGGTTACTTCCTTCACTGTCCTGTCAATTGTAACCTGACGGTCTTCAACAGTTAGAGTCACTGTAGTCCATACTGAAAATTGAATGAAACAGAAAAACAGTCAGTTCTTCACTCTTCAGTAGCTCAGTTGACCGAGAAGACTTGTATTCTCTCAACAGATGAGCTTCGTCAAGATAAAACAGTTAAACGACACAGATGTTCTCATCTATGGGGATAAAACAGAACCACCAACCTGGAGATAGCGTAAAATCAAATTCAGACAACACAGGTCGACCTTTTCGAGGAAATCATTTTTCTCCGGCATATGCAGAAGAAAGCTGCGCAGATAGAATCCCAGGTCAGCCAATGAATCTGTTTTAATATCTAGTTTTGAATCTTTTTTCATTCCTTGTTCCGTAATATTCACGATGTGCGGTACAACAATGTCCTGTAAATTGTGGAACATATGAACTAAAATGACTTACAATTATGGGAACAAAATACTCCGTGATCGTGTCGGGATGTAGGTAGTCACAGCATAAGCTGAACGGATATAAGTAAGTTGCAATAAGGCAAAGAGTCATATCATTAAGTTCGGCGAACCGGAGGAACCGATCCCTAAGCCGTTCGAAACCATTTAGGCGTCCGAAAAGATCAATAAAGTCCTTCAAAATCGGTGCAGGACGTTTGGAGTCTGGGAGAATGGCAAACTCTTTTAAAGTAGGCGGATCGTGCTCGGTTTTGTTTTTCGTGGGTGTATCTGGGGTCGAGATCAACAGATGAGGAAGAAGGGGAGTGATATGCGTGTAACGGATTGCACTATTGATTTTTTCTCCATGTTGAATCCTCCAGCACTGATCCACCGGACACACACTGAATTGCTGAAATCTATATGAGGTCAAGCAACGGCAAACTCTAGCTCGCTCACCTTGAGTCTGGATCAAATAGGATAGATTCAAGAATCAAAATAGAAGAGGCATCATGTGCCGCCTTGACAGCACAAAGTTCGACGGCCAACAAAGCATTCATATAAATGTAGTGCTACACAGAAGACAAATGTGGTTGACGAATATCAGTGAATATGAACTAACCAGTATCTGACAATCCCATCCATCAACGGCTTCGTCCTGGAATGTTTTTTGGAACGAAGATAGCAGTCCAGAACTGTAAAAGTCTTGGCACTTGGGAAAGTCTGTGTCCCTGTCTAAAACCAAGCATTTTTAATCCTTGCCGTCAAATATAAAATACCTTGTTTAGCCAGTTCAATAGCGGCTTTCAAGAGGATTTCCAAATGGGAGTCTGGCAATACAGGAACAACCCATTTGACCATATTCAAACAACTGTTTAGTGTAGTCCATGACTGGGTAGGGAAATCTAGCAAGTTTTGGGTCACATCTGCTTTCGGTGAAGTGTCGTGGCTGGTTGACTGATCAGATGAAACTGGTGAGCCGGGTTTGCTATCAATCACTGTGTAGTCGGGAGAAGACTCGCCGCTGGTGAAAGCTGGCTGAATTGCTGGATCTGACATTAATAATCTGCGAAAACTGAAAGGTGGAGACGGAAACAATGGGTCAAGCTTTATCGTTCCACCGTCTTAAATTGCAGATACAATCGTAGTATCTATAGTGGCAGGATTCAAAGGTACGCCAACCCAAAGGACAGATCGAAAACTCAAAATTCGAAACAAGAAGCTTCACTAGGACTTGTAAGAGGAACAAGTAAACTCGGTCTAATAAGAAACAGGGTGAGATGCGCGATGGACAAAACGAGACAAGACACAAACGAACAAGAAACCTTATCTATTCGTCATTCCTAAGAGATTTCAATACGTAAAAAATAACTTGAAACGTGCAGCTGGTTCGCAGTAAAGTTGTTGTGTTGTGAATCGTTGTAAATTCTTCTGTCGTTAAGATTCTGGAGCCGGGTTTTGCAGTCAGCTGCAAAAAAATCTCCACACTGTCCGCCTCATTAGTTCAACGATGGCGAAGCTGAATAAAAATGGAAAACAGACACCCTAGTCGAACGACATTTCCTGTGGGGAAGCTTTTACAGATCTTCCCATAGACTCCCACAAGCCCGGAAGTATGTGAGTATGAGGACTGGTTTACGCTTCTGAGGCATCCTCTGTTGAACAGGTGTAACCAGAAGGATTGACCAATCAACGGACTAGGATGTACATAAGTTTGACGAAAAGTCAGGGATTGCGCCTATCTGATGAGCCCCAAGGGCAAAATCGGTCGGGACCGTCGAAGAGTCTTCAGCAACTTCATCAGTGGTTTCCTCATGAAAAATTAGACACAAATTTGAAGTCATGGACAATAAGATTGTGGGTCGCCGGCATACAAAGCACCGGAGAGCGCGAAGTTTCAGAACAGTTGCTGTCGCTTCTCGATATGAGGTGCGGTCTTTCTGGATGCTGAGTATAACTCCGCCAGGATGTCTGTTAGATATCAGCTAACGCACAGCACGAATACAAACGGAGGAGCCTGGAGCAACCAAAAAGCTTTGGAAATAAGGGAAAACGGTGCGACTGGGAATGTTCGGAATAGGATTAACAAAATGGGACCCCAAAACAGGTTGTTGGTGAAATCACCAAAGAGAACATGCGGATTTGATTTCCAACAAAAACTAGCATCTTCACTGCCGGGCTGAACATTTTCAGTTGGTCACCTATGCCCGTGCCTTTCAATCGACCTGCACAACTCCGGACGCGGTCCATGAGTTTACACTCACCCTTAGCTGCTGATGTACTAATATGCGTCATCAGGCCACAGCGCCAGATTAAGTCCCACAGCGTTCTTCAGGAACGGTAGTGAATCCTCGAGTTTCGTGTTTCTTATGCTAACCGGAGACCAAAAATATATCCATGATCAATATTTGTTTTCCATCAGGAGGTGCCAGATGCGTCTGCTCCAACTACAACAATATAAGTCCTTCAAGGTCACGACGTGGCTCCTGACTTTAATAACACAGATGTAAGTTCTAGAGCATCAAGAAAGATCCCTGTCATGTAGGGGATGAATCGACGACATCGTCACATTACACAATACATTACACAGTTACATTACAGTGCTTGAGCAGCCCTACATATGTTGCCGGCTAACAGAGGCGGTTTACGGCGGCAGAGCCTAGAACTTACCGTAGCGTGGTGGCTTGTGTACCGCAACGACCAACTTAGCTATATTAAATTTTCACTGCGATACCCATACCAGGTGGATTAATAAGTGGATGCTTGAATGATAGTTCCTTGGTCCTCCAAACTGGGGGTTGGAATACGCCAGGCAATTTGCTCCTTATGAACTTGCGCTAATGTAATAAAGTACCGGCACCCATCCGCTGCCTTGCGGCCAGGCATGCGAGTACAAGGCTTTTATTAAGAGTTATAATCACTCTCCAGTCTGGGCTTGAGCACCCTGACAGTATGCCATCCTGCATACAATCACGAGCCACAAAACCAGATATTTTGTTATGACTCGTCGGTCCTCACCTGGTGCCGTCAGCTTGATTCCTTTACTTGCAGCACGCAGCAGGGAGTGCAAGCAAAAACAGAACGAAGCTTCCATCCTTATAACTGCGCGTATTTCTTCATCACTACATCATCGTGAACAATTCTGCTGGTTGTCTGCAATCACTTTCCAGACTGCCTGCTTGCATGGAAAACGTGGGCTGCGAATATGCAATCCATTCGGCCTCAGTAGTTTACGAATGTATATCCCAACTCAAGCGTCACCGTGCTCCTGGATCCGATTATCTCCCATTAGCCCCGTTCAAAGACGGTGGTGATATCCCCAGTCAGTATCTGTATAACTTAGTTGCTTCCATCTGGAGGGAGAGACCGTCCGAGGCTATTGGGGTGAGTCGATGATACCGTTCATCTTCAAAAAAGGATACGCGCAGTAAATAACGTATCTCCAGATGCATCAGTTTGACTACCGTTTTAAAAAGGTAACTGGTGTCATCGATTCCTCTTCTTAAGAAGGAGAATGAAATATTGACCCGTGAGAATTAGGCCGGCGATTCACTATTCTCACCGATCACATGCCCTTGCCGTCAGTTTCTGACTCGAAATCTGACGAACCCGCTTACTCGGCTGCGACGTTGGGCAATCACCCTGCTTGGCTACGACTTCGATATCCAGTATCGACACAGATAATCACGGCCAAGCAGATGCACTCTCACGACTGATCGGCAATCATACTACCCCAGGAGAGGACTCCGTCATCGCGGCCCTGTCCATCGGTGACCACGTCAGCCAGCAGCTGTGCAAAACAGTCCGTGCCTTACCGGTGACCGTGCCAGATATCCAGTGAGACTTCGGCTGGTCCGAATCTACAACAGGCGATCCATTTCCTCGGGACACTTTCGCCGAAAAAATCCCTGGACGATGATCTCCAGACTCTTTTCCATCGTCGGGATCCCTTGTCTGTAGTTGGTGACTGTCTCATGTTTGAAGAACGTGTGATGGTTTCAGGCCCCTTACGCCTTCGGGTCCAGAAACAATTTCATTCGGTGAAACCTGGGCTAAACCGGATCAAAGCAATCACTCGTAGTTACGCTTACTGGCCGCACTTGGATCGCGACATCTCAGACTACGTCAGAGACTGTTCGAAATGTCAGCAAGCCGCCAGAAACCCTCCACGCCTACTGCCGGGCCTCGACTCGAATGAAATTGGTCCCGGGTGCATATCGACTACGCTGCCCCATTGATGGTGTAACATATCTCATCTTGGTCTACGCTTACTCCAAGTAGCCAGAAATTGTGCTGTTTTTTTACCAATGACAACAAACACCCTACGATTCCTGTCTCAGCTCTTCAGCCAGCATGGTCTGCCGGGGAATTTAGTGTCGAATAATCAATAACAGTTCAGCTCCAGCGGTTTCAAAGAGTTCTGCCGGAGAAATTCCATCACACATGCCCATTCGCCACCGTACTACCCGCGGTCAAACGGTAGGGTAGAAAGTTCTTTCAATACGTTCAAGCAGGCGCCGCGAGGGGAGAAGACATCCGTCGAAGTTCTCAAGGGATTTCTTCTTACCTACCGGACCACTCCAAATGACTCTTTGAAGACAGAAAATCGTTTGCTGGAGCACTCATAGGCTGAAAACCACGGGATATCAAATCGGCCATATCTTCGACACCGACAGGTCGTTTATGGGCCACAGTGAACATAAAGAGGGCCCGATCTGACATGACACAAGCACGGACCCTGGATCCAAGGCCACGTCTTACGAAGACGCAGCAGCGTGGATGAATTAGTTTTCCTAAATATATTTAACCAAAATGAGATTCACTGGAAGGCCGCTGAAATTCTTCATGCCCTTTGTCTCTATAGCTCTGGTCCGGTTAGTGTGTATAACTTCGTAACTGGCGGAGTTTGTCAGGACTGCCGCCTCTTTTTTGTTTAGTTTTGTCATGCACGTTATCATGAAGCGTACAATTCAAGAGCTCATGAGTCTAGGTACAAAAATCACATTTGAAGAAAGATTGACCATTATTTGTCATCAGAAGATACTTGTAACAGAGTATTCGAGAACGACCTATGTTTAGGTATGGGTTTCGCACCTTCATAGTGCAAGATCATCCGACATTTTGTGTTCCCCTGGAAATTTAAAACGAACGAGAGTTTGTTTATTGGTTGACGTCTCTCGGCCGCTGCATCAGGCGCCATTGCACCGCAACAGATGACCAAGGCGCGAGCGACGTTTGGAAACTTGCGTCATTGACGACATCGGAGCTAGAGGGTCGTGTACATCGGGCAACTATGAGCAGTTAGGTCATGCTTTGCTGTTGTAAGACCTGACCCCTCTGATCCGAGGACCTCAGGCGTCTTCGAACGCTTAGCCCGCTCCATCTCCAAGTTCCTTGCAATCCACCAGCATTCTCTGTCATTCTCCAAATTCTCGCTTATCCGGCGTTTCAGATATCTGCGTACACCATTAGGGTAGATGGTTGCTGGTATGGCTTTCCTGACATCAATAAGATCTGCTGGTCTCGACGATATCCAGTATTCACTTAGTCAAGTTATATGGCTTAAACAGAAAGGTGGAAGCGTGCCTTCTTTAATACGCCTCCAATCAACCTGCAACCAGTCTTCTTCATCAGCACAAACGCGCGTTTCCAGCTTCCGAGCCAGATCAGTTCGATACTGCTCAGCCACTGAAACTCGTCTAAGTTGACGGACGGAGCTGTCATGCTTCAGCACGAGGGATAGCCAGGTGACTACAGCGTGAATTTACTGACCCGCATTCGAACCCGACCCCTGCATCTCCACTTCTTTTGTCTAGGCTTGGGCAACCTGGCAGTATCCAAGCCTCCGTGCTTCCTTCGGATAGCATGATAGCTAAGCACTGAAAGGGCTCTACAGCTGAACGATTATTAGAGGTAGTATTGGTATTGGTATTACTAATAAGCAGGCGTAATACTGACGCAAGATGAAGTGATAACCGCCCGATAGCATGACCTGGAGAAAAATTGCGTACCTGAGAAGGAATGGCAACCAGGATATCCATCCGTAACTAGTAGCCACA